CCCCCCCCCCCCCCCCGCTCTTGAGCTCACAAGGCAACCGTGACCGCATAATGGCAGAGGCGGGCCGCGGGCGCCACCGGGCCAATGCGCGCAGCGTGGGCGGGGGCGCCCGGAGAGCTCCGGCGGCCGCCCCGCGCCGGGGGCGAGGAAATCCACCTTCCCGGCCTCCCGCTCCCGACCGCCGAAGGAGTTAAGTGGGTGGAGCCGCGGGCGAGCGAGCGAGAAAGGAAGCGGATTCCGGAGCCGGACCGGACTGCGCCCTCCGCCTGCCGCCAGCCAGCCAGCCAGCCAGCCGCCTCCCAGGGCTCGCCGCCCGCCCTCGCCCCGTCGCTGCCGGGGGGAAGGCCAGCATGATAGAGGACCTTCTGTCCGCCCTCCTGGCGCTGCTGAGCCTCTGGTTCACGGTGGCCTTCCTGATGATCGTCCTGCCGTCCATCTTCGGCTTGTCCTTGGGCATCTCGGAGCTCTACATCAAGATCCTGGTGAAGACCTTGGAGGTGAGTGAGTCGCAGGACGGGCAGGGCGGACCACCCCAGCCCGGGCGCCGAAGGGCCGAGACCCCCCTTTTTCGCACCCCTGTTAAAAAAAACACACCACCCTGACCTTTCTTGCATGATTCAGCGATCTAATCCCCGGCGGAGGGCGGGAGCCGCTCTCTCTCCTTGCAGCCGTGGCCCTTCCCTCGCTGGGGCAGCCGGGGAGAGAGCCGGAGAGGCCCGCCGGGAAAGGCCGGGAGGCGAACAATGGCAGTTTTCGAGGAATCTCCCCCCCCCCGCCGCCTTTGCTGCCCCCTGTAATCCAAGAACCCGCCCTGCTCCTGAGTGCCCTTTACGCAATCCAGCGACCATTCGCTGCGACGCCTGTCATTCAATCCCCCTCCAAATATTAACGTTCCTTTGGAATCAGCCAGTGAAATGGCCAAGGGAGACCGCAGAACCAAAAGGACCCCGGTTGTTATTGTGTGTGTGTATGTGGGGCTCTTTTAAAAACAGAACAGGGTTACTCTATCTGGAGTTAGTCTATGTCTTGAGGGTTTTTGCTAGGGCATTTCCATTTTGATTTCATTTAAACCTCATTTCCCCCCTCCCCTGGCAGAACCAAACTGGCTCACATCTCCCCTCCATTTTAACCTCACAACAACCCAGCGAGGTAGGTTAGGCTGAGAACCTGTCACCAGCCCCAGGTCACCCGACGAGCTTCCATGCAGTGCTCCCTCTAAGCTGTGGAGTCTTGTGAGCAGAAATTCTACTGTGTGAGCTGCTGGCATGAAAGCAAGCAATTTGGCTGCTGTGTAAATTAGTTTGCTCTGGAGCCATCCTTCCTGAGCTGAGACAAAAATGTGTGAGCCGGAGGCTAAAGAACCGTGAGCTAGCTCACACTGACTCAGCTTCGAGGGAACACTGCTTCCATGGCAGAGAGGGGAATTGGATCTGGGTCTCCCACTGCATCATGTTGCTTCTCTGGGTATTGTGGCACTTGCCTTGGAGATAGCTATTTTGGTTGGGATATCAATTAACACACGTGGTCTTTGTTCTTTATAATTTTCTGTAGAGGCAGGTGTGTTTCAGTGCAATCCTTTGCACAGATGCTGTAGTCTAAGGCCATTCATTTCAGTTTGGGCTGGAATGAGCCCGCAGGGGGTTGCGTTGTGACTCTGTTTGCAAGCTGCCTCCTGGGATTCCTCCAGAGGAGTCTTACCTGGCTTGTGAGTGTGTGTCACAATAAATGTGTCCGTTTTTTTAAAGGCGATAACAAGATTTGCGGGTGTTAGGAAGGAAAATGGTGCAGTGTCTTAGCTCACCCCAGCCCCTCTAAGCTCAGTTCAGAGCAACATGTTTATTTACTTTTTCCCCAATGGGGACCCAGGTGGCATGCATTCTCCTCTATTTTATCCTCATAACAAAGCTGTGAGATAAAATTTAGGCTGGGATTCTGGCCAACCTCACAGTCACCCAGCAAGCTGCCATGACCGTGGGAATTTGAACGTGTTCCCAGCCTGATGGCTCTAACCATTGCGTGATACTGGCTATCTGGTAAACTGGCTTTGATTGTTTTTAAATGGCTGTGGCTGTAGGTTTTGTACTGCTTCTCCCTTGAATTCTCCCTCAGCAATCAAAGCTGGAGTACTGTGAAGGGGAAGAAGATAAAAAATAATGTAATTTTTGCAAAGTGGGGGTTTTCAGTGTGGTGTAGCAGTTAGAGCGTCATAAGAACATAAGGGAAGCCATGTTGGATCAGGCCAGTGGCCCATCCAGTCGAACACTCTGTGTCACGCGGTGGCCAAAACCCAGGTGCCATCGGAAGGTCCAGCAGTGGGGCCAGAACTCCAGAAGCCTTCCCACTGTCGCCCACCAAGTTCTAGGACCTCGAATCCTCTCTCTGCCATGGTAGCTTGCTGGGTGACCAGTCACATGCTCTCAGCCTCACCTACCTCACAGGATTGTTGTGAGGATAAGATGGAGGAAAGAAGACCAATGTAAGCTGCTTTGGGTCCCCATTGAGCAGGAAGGCAGGGTATAAATAAAATTAATGAATACATAAACGTGGAGAACGTTTTGAAAGAAAATGGACTAATTTCATGTTAATCGAATGTAGCATTGTATTTGACCAAAGAAGAAAACATGATGGCTGATTTCGCACTAGAGCTGCCTTGATGTTGCACCGCCATTTGCTAAAAAACAGGATCACGAAACTGCAGGGGAAATCGGGCGAAGCCGCGAGTCAAAATGCAGCCCCGCAGCTTCGGGTGTGAAATTGACCAATAGAGCAACATTGAGGCAGCTCTAGTGCGAAATCAGCCGATGTCTGACACTAGTACAAATGAAAGTGAGTCTGGAGGAGTGGGTTGTGTTGGGAGCGGTGAAGCTGCCAACTGAAATGTCTGTTCTGTATCCGAAGTCTTATTTTTGTTTGTTTATTTAAAATATATTTTAAGCCTCCTTTCTTCCTTAGGAGCTCAAGGGAGCTTGCAATATAGATAAAAACCCCATAAAATAGAATTTATTTATTTATTTATTTTACCACACCAACACACACAAAATTTAAAACCACAATTTAGGACTGCGAGTCAAATCAAATGCAGTCCTAAATCAAACCATCTTCAACAGCAGTGGCAGGTATCGAACCACAGAATGGTATTTCTGTTTGTGGAAAAGGGAATGGCTATTTCTATGCTGGTTTTTTGGGGTCCATTTAGGGAAGCGGGAAAGCCTCTCTCTGTAAAATCTGTAGGTGGGTGGATACATGGGCAGTATTTCTTTCCTTAGGTGACCCTCTCAACCCCCATCTATCTTCAGCTGAATAGATTATTTCTATGAGAGAAGAAATTATTTCTGTCAGAGCCAGCGTGGTGTAGTGATTAAAGTCTCAAACTTGGTAAAGCTAGTGGAATCTGACTCTTAGAGGGCGGTGCTCATCTCCGTTTCCAAGCTGAAGAGCCAGTGCTGTCCAAAGACGTTTCCATGGTCATGTGGCCGGCATGACTAAACACTGAGGCACATGGAACACTGTTACCTTCCCACCGAAGTGGTACCTATTTATATACCTGCAATTTCTTGCTTTCAAACTGCTAGGTTGTCAGGAGCTGGGGCCAGAGACAGGAGCTCTGCCACGTGGCACTCGGGTCTCGAACTGCCAAACTACAGACTTTCCAGTCTGCAGCTCGGTGTCTTAACCTCTGAAATCCAGCTTCGATTCCCCACTCAGGCGATGGATGCTAGCTGGGCAACCTTGGGCCAGTCGCATGCTCTCAGCCTAACCTACCTCACAGGGTTGTTGTGAGGGTAAAAATGGAGGAGAGGAGACTAGTGTAAGCTGCTTTGGGTCTCCATTGGGGAGAAAGGCGGGATATAAATCATTTCTCCCATTCATAGTAGGCAAAAGTGTGTAGGAAAACAGTTTCACCCTTACGAGGTGCTACTGTGTTGCAATCACCATGTAATAACTTGTCATATCAGGTTTGGCAAGGATGTTAAATATCTTGAAAGAAACATCAAGGCCAAGAAAGAGCCACACATTGTTTTTACATCTCCTTTAGGCAAAGCGAGGCAGAGGTTCTTTTCTATATCCTGCTGGGAGGGTGGATGGTGAGATTTGTAAATATCAGTAAGGATGCAGATTTCGGAGCCTAAGGAAGCCAACAACTGAACTGACACACACTGTTCTCAGCCCCTCCCTAGTATCTGCAGCACAAGGCTGAGCATTGTCCAGGTTTGCAGGGTTCCTGGTTGGATCGCTCTAGTAATTTATGTGGAGTGCTATGCCCGGAATCCCTATATAAATAACTAGGAAGAATGCCCGTTGTGGAACTGAAGACAACGGGGCGCTAGCCTGGCCACGGGTGAGGTCGCCGTCTCCATCTGGCCCCCCCACGGCGAAGCTGGCCATCCTGCCCTGCATGGTCGAGGCTCCGGCGGGCCAAGGCGCCTGGCCTCCCCCCGCCCGTCGAGGCGCCAGCGGGGGAAGCCGGCCAGGCTCGCCCCTCTCCCCACAATGGGTGCGCGCCCGGAGCCCGCACCCCCCCCCCGCGGGGTCAAGGCCCCGGCGGGTAAGGCGCCTAGGTAGGCCTCTCCCGCCACCATCCCCGGCCGAGCGAGGCCCCATCGGGGCAAGTGGACCAGGCTCGTCTGTCTCCCTGCAATGGGCAGCAGCTTGGGCAGGCGGCTGCGGGCCCACGTCTCCTTCCCCAGCCCCCTGTCCTCTGTTCTCCCTCCACGCGCTTGAGGCCCCAGTGGGCCAAGCTGCCTGGCCTCATCCGTCCCCGCCACAGGGCGACCGGGACAGGCTGGGCCTGGCTCCCCGGCCGGCCTCAGGCACGGTGGCACAGCGCCATCTCCCCTCATCTGCAGACCACACGGGGGAGGCGCGAGGGAATGGGCCACTGCTACCTCTCTCCTTGGCCACCCCTGGTGCCTTTCCAGGCAGCTGGGCGGAGCCAGCGCATGTCGGCCTGGGCCTCCTCTTGGCTGGTGGCGGCTCCTGGCTCAGCAGTGGTGGCATGGCCCCGTCTGGGGCCTGCAAAGCCGAGTGAGGGTGTCTGGCCAGTGGAGCACCCGGCCCGGGCGGCTCGAAGGAAACTGAGGGCAAAAGGGTGGCCGCTGCCTCCGTGGGCGGGAGCTTTTTAAGGCATGTGAGAAGTAAAGGTGGTGTGTCATTGCCTTCCTTTGCAAGATCATCCTTGGTGGTCTCCAGTCCAAGTATTGGCTCTGCTGAGCCTCCGAGATCTGATGAGATCGGGCTATAGCATGCCGCCTTCCCTCCCCACATCCCTCTACCATGAGGTAAATATTTTCCGATTTGTCATAAGGAAAGGTCATCAGGTTGTCACGAAGGGCTGTATCTCTCCAAAGCACTTAGAATGGTCCCCTGGCTCAAAGGCAGGCAATGGCAAAAGCACCTCTGTTCGTCACTTGCCTTGAAAACCCCATGAGGGATCACCATAAGTTGGCTACAACTTGTCGGCACTTTCTACCACTATTATTTCACGTCAGAACCGATC